CATTCTTTGAGCAAAACCTCCTGAGGACTAGAATTCCCTTTCCAATATACGGTCTCTCTTAGAGCTGTAACTAAATATTATTGAGTGGCAGAAAAACAAATCTCAAGAAATGATGGACTTAAGAAAATTTCATTGAAGAGAGCACAAAGCAAGTCCTAATAATACCACTTTGAAAATGAAAGCTCCCCCTGCTTTAAGAGAAGCAGACATCAAAACTCACAATTATGTTCAAAAGACCCAGCTAAATCCACTGAACCTCTGATGATGGGCTTCCATAAGCATGATCACTAAGCAACTTAAACTAAAACTTCAGTTTTCTTTAGTAGCTGATCAAATCATTATCAAATTCATAGATTTTGAAATTAAAAGCTCAGTTTTTAGTCGACACCTTTGAAAGTCAAAATTCTGTCATTTCATGCTCCGTATTCTCTTGTTCATGTGATAATAAAACTAATTTTGTTAGCTTCTTAGGTGTTCTAGGCTGGAATTCCATTAATTCTATAACATTAAAGATGATAATAATTAAATATCATTAATTTACTAATATCATTTAAATTCAGACATTAACAGGAAGAATTTTATTATAATCAAAGTCAACTGGGTTTGTAGTTCTTAAAGGATCCCCAAAGGATTTTTGAATTTACCAAATTTGAACTTTTCCAAAATTATGTTCTACATTACATCTCCTGAAACAAAGCAGCAGTCACTTTCCAATTGGTTTATTAACAGTTTGTGTGTCCTGAGCTAGATGGGCTCCAAAAGCCCTTCCAGGGCTGGGGATTTAGCTCAGTGGTTACGGCGCCTGCCTTGTAAGCACAACGTCCGGAGTTCAATCCCCCATACCAAAAAAAAAAAGATAAGCAGGTCCAAGGATTTAGCTCAGTGGTTTCACTGCCTGCTACGCAAGCATAAGGACCCAAGTTTGATCCCCGGTACCAAAAAAAAAAAAAAAAAAAACCTAGGCTTGAAAAATGGACCTTAACATGACCCAAACTGCAAAACAAGTTGTTAGCTCAAAGGGAGAGAAAAATTACCTAGGGGCCAAGGATTTAGCTCAGTGGTTCTGCCTCACAAGCACAAGGTCCCGAGTTCAATACCTGGTATCTAAAAAAAAAAAAAAAAAAAAACCCAAACTACTTACTCAAAAGAAATATAACTGAAAGACACACTAAGGTACATAGGATCGTGGGCTAGCATTAAAAAATGAAAAAAACAAAAGCAAAAAAGCAAAAGGTAAAAGCTTCCTCAAATGTCATTTCTCTTCATTCAACAAAAATGAATTCAAAACAACAGCCAGACTTTAAGGGTATAGCACTAGAAAAATTCCATTTCTAGGGCCGGGAATTTAGCTCAGTGGTTTTGCTGCCCGCTGCTCAAGCGCAAGGACCCGAGTTCGTTCCCCAGTACCAAAAAAATAAAAAAGAAAAATTCCATTTCTACAGGTTTAAATGTTTAATTTGGTAGATTTTTATTTAAAATGGGTTGTTGTTGCTGTTGTTGTTGTTTGGGGTTGGTGGGGTTTGTCTGTTTGGCAGTACTAGGGATCAAACCCAGGGGTACTCTACCACTGAACTAAATCCCCAGCCCTTTTTAATTTTTTTGCTTTCAGACAAGGTCTTGCTAAATTTCCTGGCCTGGCCTTGAACTTGGCTCTCCTTCTACCTCAGTCTCACAGAGTGCTAGTATCACAGGTGTATGCCACCACACTCAATTTTTAAAAATTTTTTGGTTGGGTCCAGGGGCTCACATCTATGATACAAACTACTCAGGAGGCTGAGGCAGGAGAATAGCAAGTTCAAGGCAAACCTAGGTAACCTAGAAAATTCTGTCTCAAACTTTAAAAAACCTGGGATATAGCTCAGTGGTAGACCACCCCTAGTTTCAATTCCCAGTACCATCAAAAAAAGAAAATTTGAAAACCTTTTTTCCCCTAAAGTTCACTAATGTATTGGGGGAAAAAAATCAAAAAAAGGAATACATAAAAGAAAAAAGGAATTAGAAAAAACAATAGGGGAAGTGGGAGGGGTAGGGGAAAGGAAAGAAGGGAATGGAATTAATATGAGAAAATGAAAAAATGGAAACAAAGTCTTTGTAAATAGAGAGGGATGGAGGGGTTGAAGGGAGGGCAGGGGAATGGGGAAAAAAATAAGAACCAAGAGATTATGTAAAGGTGCAAATTTCCAATGATGAATGTCATTATATTGTATACCAAAATGTACCAATAAAATTAATTTTATAAAAACTACGAACCAAGAAAAAAAAAGAAAAAGCAATAATTTTATAAAAGGAAAAACATACTGTTTAAATTAATAAATAGTATTTTCATTCAATAAATTTTCATTAATTTTTAATTTCATATTGTAGTCAAGTAAAGAAATAAAGAACAATAGTTCTAATAAGAAATAAAACATTAAAAGAGAAAGCAAATAGGGAAAAAAAAAAGAGTACACAGAAAGATAGGAGACACAAAGATAGGAGTTTAAAAGAAAGGAAAGAGGGCTGGGGATTTAGCTCAGTGGTTTCACTGCCTGCCTTGCAAGCGCAAGGCCCTGAGTTCGATCTCCGGCACCAAAAAAACAATTAAGAATTTAGTAACATATTAATTACTTTGAACTACATAAGCTATACATTACATAGTTATTACCTGAATAGTTTTTTTTGTACCGGGGATCAAACTAGGGTCCTTGCACTTGCAGGGCAGGTGGCGGAACCACTAAGCTAAATCCTCAGTCCCTGAATAGTTTTCTAACATCCCATTGACTCTTCAGCAAGGAAGATCTGTAACTGCTTTTAGAAATACATCAAATTGTGAAAAAACAATTAGTCTACAATTTTCATAACTGTTATCAAAACAGTAGCACTTAATTGAAAAAGTGACAAGCAAACAAAAGTTTCTGGTGAGCTACAACTTGCCTTATTTTAGACATTCACCAAACTGCAAAAAAATAATAAACCACTTGTTGGCCATAAAGTCAATTTTTTTTAGTCACAAAATACCCCTAGGTTCAGTGGTGAACTAAGCCAGTCTCATTTTATTTTGTATCTACTCACTGAAATTCTAGAATGTCAGAATTAGAAGAATTAACACAACTTACATTGGTGATGATATTTTAACTACTGCACTCTTAGTTATACCTCTGGGTCACTTTCCACACTATGAAGAACAAAGCCTAATAAGCAAGCAGACCAAATTCAGTACTCAGGTCAACGACCTTAACACATTTTACTTTGCCACTGATTCTTCCTCCTGATCTAGGAGTTAAGAGGTAGGACAGGGACTGGAGTTGCAGCTCAAGGGTAAAAAAGCTTGACTAGTACACACATGACCCTGGGCTTAATCCCCAGCACAGCAAAATAAAAATAAAAAGAGAAAGGATAGCCTAATAAATTTGGGGTAATGCATAACAGTGAATAAACATTAGAGTATACACAGAGAGCTCTTACCTTTCTAAAAATCCGCATTTAAAATACTCAAAGCACAACTGAACCACAAACCAAGCAATGATGTCAATCCCCAAATCAGAACACATTGAACAACTTGAGATGAAAACTATATATAATAAAGACTCATTTGAAAATTCTGTCGAGTTTCAATTTAATCCCATGATTACCTTTCTATCTGGTCAGCACTTATTTGCCCATCAAATCAAATAACCCTGACTATCCACCTTTTCTAAGAAAGAAAAATGATATTCATTTTCCTCAATAACTGAAATCACTAACAGTTTTGGGACATAGCTGAAAGTATGAGGAAGGTATATGTGTGGAGAACAAGACGAGGGAATAAGGTACTTCTATAATCTTTATGTCCTCCCTGTTGGGGTGCCTAACAAATAGCACAGTAGGAGTATTCTGCATCAACCAAAGAAATCTACTCAGAAAAAGTTTATTGAGGTAAATACTGTACTATAGTGAAACCTGGGTGTGTAATATCAATTATGTTTACTTCAATGCATTCACACTCTCTGGGGAGAGATAGTACACAGATTTTGGTGAGTGTTATGATAAAGATGCTAAACTAAGTATTAAAAATACAGTTGGGGAGGATAAGAATTCTGACTTAAGGTGGCTCACAATGTAATGAAAAATGGAATTATGGAAAGCTTCAGATTATAAGATGTTAGAGCTGACTACTACAGGATAAATGGAAATTTGTAAATGGAAAAAAAAAAGAGGAGCATTTTAGTGAATATGGGTCAAAATAATTATAGCCTGAATAAATGTAAGATATGAAAGTATGTGTTTAAAAAACCAGGAGCAGGGCCAGGGATATAGCTCAGTGGTTCCACTGCCTGCCCCGCAAGCGCAAGGACTGGAGTTCAATCCCTGGTTCCAAAACCAAACAAACAAACAAACAAAAACCAGGAGCACTCAAATGTGACTGTTTCAAGACAAATAACAGGCAAAGGCAAAAGAAACAGCTCAAAAGTTAACATGGTGCCAAAATGAAAAAGGTTATAGATAATCTGCCAAGCTGGGCTTTATTCTAAAAGCAACAAGAGATATTGACAGTTTTTTAATAAAAGGAGTTGACAAGAACAGATCAGTATTTTAGAAGTAAAACATTTGGCGATGATGTGAAAGCTAGATTACTGGGGAATGGAGACAGAATGATCAGGTACAGAATGATCACAAAAGAAAGTCTTTGAAATAATCAGATCTGATTATAAAGCCTGATTCCTCTCCACTTAAGCAATATTGTTTTATGCACTTCAGATAAAAGAGAAAATAAACACTGAATACATTTTAAAATATTTTATAACTCAGAATTTTTACTAATTCAGTTAGTTTCCTCAAGTATCCAAATCAAAGAGGTTTTATTATGGTATATTTTATTTGATGTAGTTAGCATTTTCAATTTAGAAATTTTATATCAATGTCACTAAAATTACTTTCATACTAGTATCTCATGGTATATACTGAAGGGAATAGGAAATCTGATACACATCAAATATGACCCAATAAAGTAATTGCCATAGGGTTTTCTTTTTCATCCTTACCATTACAAGTTCTTCTTGTAATTCACTGCAACTTTTTTCATTATACTGAAGTCTCTTTGAAAGATCTATAATTACTTGCTTCTGTTGCTCGATCTCTTCATTTAGTTTCTTATTTTTGGAGAAATACTCTCTTTCTAACCTGAAAAGTTAAAATGTCAGAGCAGGTTTTCCAAATATGCTTTTACCAACTTCTATGATATATCTTTAACACAAATAGCTGATGCACTATAAAGGAATAATGCTTCCCTTTTAATAGCAGGTATTTGTATAATGTCCACATTTAGTTAGTGTTGATATGGTTTCACTTTTTTTTTTTTGGTGCTGGGGATCAAACTTGGGACCTTGCGCTTGCAAGGCAGGCGGCAGAACCACTGAGCTAAATCCCTGGCCCTTTCACCATTATTTTTGATGAAGAAAACTCATCTGCCACAGTTCAATTAGCTCAGAAACTGCATCAAGACTGAAAAAATAATTCTAATAAACCATTTCAGGATATGCCACAACAGAAATGGAGTAAATATTTTATTTCTGAATGTCCATGCTAATAGAACTGGTGTGATGGCATGGAAAATTCAAAAGGAAGAATAATCAAAAAGTACGCATGTTCACTTTGAAAATATGTGAATTTCTTTTCAAAGGACTTGCTTTCCTGTTTAAATGTTTCTCAGGTTGGTATTAAATTATATTGACATTCTGACATAAACAAATGTTGAAAGGAAGTTTGGAAGTATTAAACCACCAGATAAGTACTTTTAATTTAAGTTGTCACTATTTTGGGGATCGAACTCAGGACCTTGTGCTTGTGAGGCAGGTGCGGTGCCACTGAGCTAAATCCCTGGCCCCAAGTTGCCACTACTTTTAATCTGTGGCCTTCCTGATAAAAGTAGATCCATGTCCTCTAATTTTTAGGCTGTAATTTAGAAAACAGAGTGACTTAGCATAACCAAATCATACTACATTTAGGCTATAATCAAATAAGCAGCTAATTTTTGAACAGCATATAACCTTACTGCAAACAGACTACAATTCTTTCTTCAGGGTTGAATACAGACAATTCTAGTACTAACCATCTTGTATATTCTCTTTTGTACCAAGATAATTCCAAGGTAAATTAGCTACAATTAAACATGTACAGAAGACCTGGATCTAGTTATGTAAATCTCTCAGAAAGTAGAGGGAAACAATAAAAATCGATCAAAGTAGAGAAAAGATAAGAAAATCAGAAAATAAATCAACATATAAATAATGGAACTTTCAGAAAAAGAAGTTTAAAAATGGAAATAAACAAAGCAATAATATAAAAGAATTTTCCAAAAATGAATTAAGTCTCTAAAATTTAAAGAGTTCAGGAAGTACCCTGCAAAGTGAAAGAAAAACAACTTAGGCCAGGCCCAACATCATGAAATTTCAGAACACTAGAACAAAGAGAAGATTCTACAGTGTCCACAGAGCATGGAAATACACATACATTGTTGCTTTATCATGTGTTATAATGCAACATCATTAAACCATTTTACATATTTATTATTTCAGAGCTGGTGGAGACACTATAAGTTTCCAGAGAAAACCAGGGACCACATACAAAAGATCAGCAGTCAAATGACTTTAAACTTCCCAAACATTAGAAATGAACAAATAGCCAGCTGAACTATGAAAAGGGTAAAGATTAAAAAATTTCTCACAATGCAAATTCTAAATTTTCTTCTGATGTGTAACTTCCCAAGAAGCTACTTTACAATGAAGTCAAACAAAAAATAGGCAAAAGATAAGCAAACTAGGGATTCAAGACAGAAGAAAAGTGAAAGGAATTCTGAAGGATGATGTTAAATTCAAGTCCTGGGATGACTATGTACAAAATATATAAACCACAATTTGTCCAGATGGAGAAGGTAGAGGAATTGAGAAGGGATGCCTCTTAGATAAAAATTAAAATGGTAAAATCTCAGGTGTAGGAACATACTGATTTTCAGTTCAGTTAAGAGTCTAGGAATGACGTAGTGGTTATTAAATCTAGAAAGAAGTCTTTGGTGGGGTTTTTGGGGTCTTCTATGTAGAGTATCATGTCATCCTTAAATACTGACAATTTAACTTCTTCCTTTTCTATTCTTATCCCTTTTCTTTCTCTTATCTAATTTCTCTGGCTAATGTTTCCAAAACTATATTGAGTAAGAGTGGTGATAGTGGACATCTTTGTCTTGTTCCTGATTTTAGAATGAAAGCTTTCAGTTTTTAGCCATTTAGTATGATGACTGATATTGATTAGTCATAGATGGCTTTTATCAGATTGAGATAAGACTATTCCAATTTTCTGTAGGGTTTTTATCATGAATGGGTGTTGCACTTTGTCCAATTTTCTGCATCTACTGAGATGATCATACAGTTTTTGTCTTTGGCCTTGTTGATATGGTACATTACATTTATTGATTTGCCTATGTTGAACCATCCCTGAGACGAATCCTACTTGGTCATGGTAGGACCATCCTTCTTGATAATTAGCTGTATTGTTTGCTAGTATCTTAGTGAGGATTTTTGTGTCTATGTTCATTAGGGAGATTGGTCTCTTTTTTGGTTGGATCCTTCTCTGGTTTTAGGTATCAGGGTAATGCGTGCTTCCAGGAATGAATATGAGAATATTGCTTCCCTAGAGTTTGAGAAATAGTGCCATTAGGTCTTCTCTAAATTTCTTGTAGAATTCAGCAGTGAATTCATCAGGGCCTGGGCTTTTTTTTGTTGGTAGGTTTTTAATTATATCTTCAATTTCATTGACTGATACTGGTTTATTTAGAAATTTTATATCTTCTTAATTCAGCTTCGTAATCCATATATATCTAAGAATCTGTCCATTACTTCTGTTTTCCATATTATTAGCAAATAAATACATGGAAAAATGTACAACATCACAGTTCATTCGAGAGATGCAAATTAAAATGCTGAGATTCCATCTCACTCCAGAAAGAATGGCTATTATCAAGAAATCAACCAATAACAAATGCTGGTGAGGCTGTGGGGAAAAAAGAACCCTTTTCCACTGTTGGTGGGAGTGTAGACTGGTGCAACCATTGTGGAAATCAGTGTGGAGATCCCTCATAAAACTAACACTAGAGGTTACACTTGACCCAGTTGTTCCCCTTCTTGGTATCTTCCCAAAAGAATTAAAAGCATTATACGATAGCAATATATATACATCCATGTTTACAGCAGCATAGTTTATAATAGATAAATCTTGGAAACAACCCAAATGCCCATCAACCAATGAATGGATAAAGATGTGTTTTGTTTTGTTTTGCTTTTTGGTTTTGTTTGCTTGTTTGTTTTTGGTACCAGGGATCGAACTCAAGACCCTGCACTTACCAGGTAGGCATGGTGCCACTGAGCTAAATCCCCAGCCCAAGATGTGTCTTTTTAATACAATGAAGTACTACTCTACCATAAAGAAGAATAAACTTGAGACATTTCTAGCTAAATGGATGCACCTTGAAACCATACTCTTAAGTGAAATAAATCGGACACACATGTTTAAATACCACGCTGTTTCTCTGGTATGAGAAACTGAAAGTATAAATAAGGACCAAAATGTATAATAGATATTGGGAAATGGGAAGAAAATGTTCAAATGAGAAGGGGAACAGAGGGGTAGGGGGCAAGGAAAAAAGAGACTAGAAAGAAAAAAACTGAAGAAAAGCTTTTGTAAATAAGGTGGGGAAGAGAGGTTGAAGGGGAAGGAAAGGGGAAAAAATCAGCAGCAAGATATATCACATACAGGTACAAATTCCTTATTATGAATGTAATCAATATGTATATCTAAAATGCACCAGTAGAAAAAACAAACCAGGCTTCTGCTGGAAATGTTCCAGCAGCAGGGACCCCAGTTCAGAGCGGCTGTGGGACAAGCTCACAGAAAAAGGGTGTAGGTGTTGTAATGACAGCAGACAGTATTTGGAGTTATGTATACAACAAAGAAAGTGAATCTAATCTCAGTCCTTGGCCATTTGAACCTTGACTCCCCACATCTATCTTGGTCCTGATGTCTCCTCATGCTCTGCCTCTGAGCAGCCTGGGATGACGGCATTAGCCACACGTGGGCACCCGAAATGTGGCTGGCTCCAACGGGGAGGAGTGGAAGATAAAACACACACATTTCAAACACTTGGGAAGGAAAAAATGGATGGAAAACATCTCAGATGTCACATCACCTGCATGACGAAATGGCAATATGCTGAGGTATATGGAGTTAAATAAAATATTCCATTAAAATAGAAATAATATAGCAACTGGTTAATCACATAAACATATCATACTGGTTAACCACTGGCTAATATCACAAACTAATCTAATTTATGAGGCAATTATTAACTATTCTTTCATTTGTTGATTCAGCAAATCTTTATTAAGCTGCTGTTATGTGGCACTACTCTTCACAATGCAAGACAATAGTGAACAAAGTTCCTCTCTGCGTAAGACAGACAATAAACAACAAAGATTACAATAAAATATACCATAAAGAAAAATAAAGATGAGTTACAAAAAATTTCCAAAAAAATAAAGTATTCTGGACCCCCAAATAAAACCCTACTGAAAGAATAGAAAGAGGAAAGGACTAAGTGAATCCTGTTTGGGAGAAGCAAAGAACACAGATACAAGTAACTGCACACAAGAGTGGAAACTGGCAGTGGAAAACAAATAATATGTCACACTTTAAACAATGTACAAGTGACAATTTGGTAAAAATCATGATTTTAATTAAAAATTACTGTTACTCATTGCTTCTCAGCATTTTGGCTAAGATCAAGCATAAAAATTACTATTACTCAACAAATAGATTCGTACTATTTCACTAAATTCAAACTGAATCCAATGAAAGGAGGGATCATCCCTTCCTGTTAGCAATCTGATACAACTCAAAGAAGGTGGCACCTATGCTTCTGTCAACAGCCCCAACCAAGAGGGAATAAGGAGGGCAAGAGTAAGGCCAGCAAAGGGCAATCTTGTTCTTCTGCATTCTCACAGACAGGGGTTCAAAGGAAATAAAGGAGACTAAGTGTTAGACTAAAGTTCACTGAACGAGAGGCACAATGTAAATTTTGTCATAAAGGTGCAGAAACTTGAGTTTCTACCCACGTTTATTATTTAGAATATTTGTATTGATGAATTATTAATTTTAATTTTATGAGTTTTATTGTATTAAAAAATAGGTACTTAACAGGAAAAAAAATCACAAAAATTAAGCATTGAATATTTAATATTTATTGAGTGTTCATAAAAAAGCATCAAAATTTTCACCATCAATTTTTTTGGTGTACAAAGCCTAAAAAATAACAACAGATTCCTATATGAACTACAATGAAAATACCAATAGTACTCTACAGAAAAAAATAATCTTTACTTCAATTATCATACTTAAGGCAGCCTTCACACATGATAACAGCATGTTCCATACACATGTATTGCTTACACTGACAGCACATGCGTTTTGCTTTCCTGGCCTTTTTGTAGGACATACTTCACATCTCACTGGTCTTGCTGCTTTGTCAGGAGGTTCTTATTATATTACACAATGTGAAGTTAAGAGGAACATAAAATATCAATAAAATAAAGTATAAAATTCTTAATAGGGAGCTGGGGTTTTAGCTCAGTGGTTCTGGCGCCTGCCGCACAAGCACAAGGTCCCAAGTTTGATGCCTGGTACCAAAAAAAAAAAATTCTTAATATGTATTGTGCATTGAGAATAAACATCAACATTTTCCCATCAGTTGTGTATTTGCTTACAAAACATAAAAGATAACATCAGAAGTAAATTCCTTTATGAACTACAATGAAAATACCAATGGAACTCTACAACAAAAATAACCTTTGCTTCAATTGTCACACCAAGGCAGTCTTCACACATGACAACTGCATGTTCCATGTACACATCTCACTTACACTGATGGCACATGTGCTTAGCTTTCCTTTCCTATGTGGCAGGCCATTCTTATCACCTCTCTTCTCTTCCTGTTTTGTCAGGAGCTTCCTACTATATTGTACAATATGCTCTTAGTAGGAAAAAAGATATCAATAAAATATATCAAATATGTAATAAGTGCTTAGAATAGACATCAACATTTTCATATGAGCTGTTTACTTGCTTACAAAACCTAAAAGACAACATCATAAATAAAAGCCTATGTGAAGTACAGTATAAATACAAACAAAAGTCTACCACAGAAATAATCTTTGCTTCAATTGTCACACCCAAAGCAGTCTTCACACATGAAAACTCCATGCTCCATACACTACTATCACTTACACTGATAGCACATATGTTTTGTTTTCTTATAGGGCACAATTAACATCTTTTTGGTTTTCCTATTGTTGCGGTAGATATTTTTGATGCTGCAGCTGCATATTCACCTGTCAGCTTACCAGTGTGCTCCACAGTTCTTTGCATAGTTCCCTGGAAAAAAACATTCTGTTTTTCCTCTGCTGTAAATGATCTCATTATGAGTTCCAGTCCTAATCCTCTTAGAAAATTTATCCATAGTATTTTGCACTTGTTATTTACTTTGTAAACTATCAGACTATTGTATGCCACACACATTTAGGATTCAGTATAACACAACCATTGGCCAACACTGTGTTTCAAGAGACATCACAGTTGCTGCATAACTCATCAACATCTACTCCACCTTTAGTTTTGTTGTCGAAATTTTCCATCTCAGGCTTCCATTTTGTCAAGGTTTCCCTATCAATATTTCCATCATGGTGCAATGTTGACATCAGCAGTATCAGTTTGTTTTTCTTTACCATATATAAGGCCAATGTATATCTTTCTGAAATCCAAAGATTTTACTATACAATTTTCTGTTTTGAAATAGCAACATTTCATTTGGAATTTCTGCTCTGCTCCTGCATATAGTTCCTACACTGGTCAGCTTGTGCTCTGTTATCAAATGTAGCATTGATTGGAAACTGGTAAACTAATTGTCAAATGTCACATTCCAATTATTTTAGGAGATGGAACCAACAAGTCTGTTCACAACATCATTCAGTTTATTACTATACAAATAAGGACCTGGTGGCTGAGTTCCAGGATAAATTTCTAAATTGAAACCATAACAAGTCTTCGCATCTACAAAGGCATAAATTTGTATGCCATATTTTAACCCATCACTTTTCCTTTTACATTGCTGTGACTACCATCAGAAATCCCTGCTAAGTACAGCAGACTTGTGAATGCTTTCAGTTCATCTAGGGAGGTATCATAATAAATACATTTTTTAATATGGCTATTGGTGCATACGAACATTTTACTTGTATTTCAGCCTTTGTATATTTCACAACATCTTGTAGCATTTCATCTGTTACAATTTCCAACATTGGATGGCAGTGTTGGTATTCTGTCTAATAGGTTTCACCCCTGCCAAGATCCTCACTATATTTTTGGACCTAGTTCTAATATTAGATTGTTCCATTTGGTTGCATGACCATTTGGCAACATTTTGATTAGTTAAATATGTGCTCGTTTTGCTGTTTTCTTCATCATATGAATCTAAGAGGTCTACATTCCCTGTGTCTGTATCAGTCTATTCTTGCTACATTTCACTGTCACAGGAACTTTGGTTCACACAGCCAACATCAAAGTCATTATCATCTTCATCATGCATCCATGAGTAATATGATTCACTTTTCACCTCCAAAATTTGTAAATCTGATTTTTCATGTGCTATTGTACTGAATTGGGCTATTTCTACCAGAAAAATCAAAAGAAAACTTTTTTAAAAACAAATCCTAAATGCACAGAAATTTAGCAATGCATATTTCATGGGTAAAACTTACCCACTGATGCTTTGGAGCTCCTGTATACACTTTGCCATTTGTCTGCCAAGTGGGTGAATGCACAGATGGCTTTTTGCTTTCCCCAGGTGCAGCTACTGAGAGTCACACCCACACTCCATTATGATAAAATACATGTTTTCATAACAGAAGAGTGGTGTAGGTGTATTTTACCCCCTATGATGCTCAGGTAAATAAAGAAAAACTTATTAGACGAAGCACTATATGGGTAAAAATCCCAGTTGGACATTTTTGCACACGTGCACACAACTTGCCACTCATCATACCAAGTGGGTAAACACAAAGACTGCTTCCTATATCCCCCAGGCACAGCTACTGAGATGCACAGCCAGCTACTATTATGCTAAAGTACAAATTTTTAATAGAAAAGTATAAGTGAGTTGTTGTAACTCAATGTTATGATCTTCAGGTTTAAGTCATACTAATGGAAACAAGAAACCCTAAGCATTACTGGGCCTGGAAATATACCTCCATTGTTCAGCTCATACTTAGCATAAATGAGGCCCTGGGTTCAATCTCCAGCACCAAAACAAAACAGAAAACAAATTATAAACATTATTAATAAAAGCAATCACAAAAATAGTTTTAAATGTTTTCAAAGTTCAATCTTTTAAGTGCCATCTTTATGCTTTTTTTATTTACCCATAATAATTACTACTCTAAGTAATACTTTTCTTTAACTCCTCATATTATTTTAAAATATTCTTTATCTTGTCACTATAAACAGAAAAAATTATCTGCTTGTCACAAGTAGAAAATTAGATTAAAAACAATAACTCTAATAAAGTACCAATCCATTATCATGTCATATAGCAATGGCAGTATAAATTTTACACTGAGGAAATTGTTTTAAATATCTACTGTTGATCTATTTTTAAAAACAGGCTAAAGGATTATAAACTTATTAAAGCATTTCAAAGAGTTTTCAAGATGAATGGCTTTTGAACTGAAAAAGATTAAAATCAAGAAGAGTTGGGCTGGGGATTTAGCTCAGTGGTTCCGCTGCCTGCCTCACAGGCACAAGGTTCCAAGCTTGATCCAAAAAATAAAATAAAATCAGGAAGTTACAATGAGTCTGACCCTATGAGTTAGAAGCTAAATGTCCTTACTCCCATTGATCCTCAATTTTCATATCTGTAAAGCAAGAACTTAAAAAATACCTAGCACATAAACTGTTAAATGAAATGCTACATATGTAGTAAGCTACAATGCATGTCAACTACTAGTAGTATTGCTGCTACTATTATTACTTTTGCAATTGAAGAAAATCTCAAACATAATTTCTACATGTGGCCTAGAAATCAAGGTTTTTAAAGATTCTGCATTACATTAATAAATAAAATGCAGCCAGGTGCAGTGACACCCACCTCTAGTCCAGTCCTGGCTACTCAGAAGACTGAGGTGGGAGGATCACTTGAGCCCAAGAGTTCAAGACCACTCTGGGCAACATAGCAAGACCTTGTCTCAAATAAATAAATGAATTAAAAAATGTAAAATACACTCATGTCTTTACTTTCTAGTATACAATTGCATCCTGGGACTCCTGGAATACTTCAAAATCCAAAAAGCATTTCCAAATTTACCTATACAGGGAAGTATAGTCATGTTTTATGAAATTCTCTACCCCGATCTACCACTAACATTAATGACAGCTGTTTATGCAACTTGAATAGCTTTCAGAAAACCTTCATAATAATTTAGAGAATTGCACAGTGAAATACTCACAAATTTAGTTTTTCAAAGCTCTTTTGTGCATTATGCTTTTCTCGCTCATATGCACTTTCAACTTCTTTGAATTCATTCTTGATCATTTCCAAATCAGCAACAGCTTCTGCTTGGCTAGCCTTTTCTACTTGCAAAGCTCCTTCAAGGTCTCGAATCCGTAACTACCAGATGACAGAGAAGGAATTAAATAATCTAAGCTTCCATCTTAAATTGAGTAAAACATTTTATCAACAGCAGACTGTCATTCATCCACTTTTTTCTACTTCGGTTTGAAAAAGATAACATTTTTTAACACATTTAGCGAAAGACGAGTGTAAGATTGAAGACATGACTATGCTAGGAAAAAGGATATGCTGATACAATTTAACCTGTCCCATCAAAGTGTTTAATTTTGACCTTCTACTCCATTCATTTCTTTTATAAAGTATGACAAATTAAGTAGTTTTTGAAATTCAGTGTTCTTCCTCACTTACGAAAAACATTATTACGTGGATATCTTTAAGAGGCTTCCAGGCCGCTGTACCACCACCACCCCCAGCACAGAGGTGAGCTGCTCCCAGCACCCAGGAGGCAGCTTCCGGGCCACTGTACTACCAACACCCCCATCACAGAGGAGGTGAGCTACTCCCAGTGCCCAGGAAGAGGCTTCGGGCTGCTGTAACACCACCACCCTCAGCACAGAGGAGGTGAGCCACCACCTGGGTGCCAACAGCAACCCTCCCACCCCCCACTCCCCGTCGAAATAAGAAGACACATAAACAAGTCTCAAAACCAGACTTCCAGATCACCTAAAGCAACCCCAAAAGGAAACGAGATGGAACACTCTGATACTCAACCACCTGGACTCCCTGAACTGGCAACAAAAGAGGATCTGGAAAAAATGAATATCTTTATAAGGTTACAAAATTTAACATTCATTTATTCCTCAAGATGTCTTAGTGTAGAAGAATGAATTATCAAACAACACTATTAGACTGAAACATTTTGGCTCTAGTGATCTGATATCTTGGATTTGCTTCAATACATTCTGGAGTCAGGAGAGTGGGTGAGTAATAGACAAACCACAATTGGTCTGAGACAGGTGTTAAGCCAAGTAATAAGACTGCAGACACCTAAGTCTAACAGCCCACTACAAATCCCGCCCTACAGCCTACATCAGCAGAGACCAGAGGGCTGATCAAATTCCTCATCTACCAACAGGAGAGTCTGAGGGAAACAAACAGAGGGACATCAGGTGCAGGGAAGGCACCTCAAAAATTGACAGGCCCTAGGTGGGTATAGCAGCACATGCTTGTAATCACAGCATGTAGGAGGCTGAGGTAGGAGGATCACTGCAAGTTTGAGACCAGCCTGTGCTACACAGTGAGTTCAAGGCCAGCCTGAACTACATAGCAAGACTGTCTCAAAAAACAAACAAGGGGGCCGGAGTTTTAGCTCAGTGGTTCCACCGCCTGCCTCGAAAGCGCAAGGTCCCGAGTTCAATCCCTGGTATCAAAAAAAAAAAAAAAACAAAAACAAGGCCCAACATGGTGCCACACACCTATAATTTCTCCACTCCAGGGTCTGAGCCAGGAGGATTCCCATGAGTTCAAGGCCAGAATGCACTACATAGTGAGTTAAAGGCCAGCTTGGACTACATAAAGAGACCCTGTCTCAAAAATCAAAACATACAAAAAAAACCTCAAAACAAAACAACATAGGCCCTAAAGCTAAGCATAGAAAATCATGACTCACTGGGATCCAAAAGATTGCAGATCTTGGAAAGAAAACACTCATTCAATAACACAGGAATTTTTTCTTTGACTCAATCCTTTTTTGGTTTGCTATTTTGCAATTATTTGCCATTATTTTTATCTTTCCTTCATCGGGTTTTTTTCTCCCTCTTTTTTTTCCTTTTAGTTTCTTTTCTCTACTTTTCTCTTTTTCTCTTTCTGTTTTTGTTCTCTTTTCTGCCCCTTCTCCTTTCCCTTATTATTTCCTACTGCTCTCTATGACTAATTTCCTTTTACTCAATAGAACCCCCATCTCACTTTTCTCTCCTCCTCAAATCTCATTGATGAACTTCTCAAATCTTTTTCATTTCCTGGTTCCCCAAATCATCTACTTTTACTAGTATAACTACTAAGCTTCATGAATCTCTAGATAGCTAGTTAACTTTATGTTATTGCTGGGGAATACGGTTCTATTGTTAGTAGAGGCAAAGTTGTTTCATTTAGTAGATATCATAGGTCAAAAGTAGGTCAATATTTGGTTTATCTTAGGGTTTATACTATAACTACAGATGTCTTTTCTGTGATTAGGGGTGGTACTTTATTAATAGGTCCTTACAGTTTATCAATATTTAGTTTATATTTGATGCTACAATGATGCCGATTGTATTACTATTGCCAAGGTGACATAGCTGTTGCTATTAATTGGTGTTCATGAGATTCCAATATCTGGACTGCCTTAGGGTCATTAAAAACCCTGTGGCACATTCTTAGAAAACAGGGTACTGGGCCAAATATGCTATAACCTCCCCATCTGATATAAACAGAGGTGGATAGAACCAGAGACAGAAGCAAAGTTAGCTATGCCCAGAGCACATCACTGGAAAATAGACATTAACTAAAGAGGTCTTCAAACTAGAAAAAAAGCTTTCTATTAGAGTCAACCTGAAGCCTCAACATGAAAAAAACAAACAAACAAAAATAGAAACATGAGAAGATGAGCCAACAAAATGTCTCCAAAAATTCCCAAATCCTCCAAGCTAATCCATGGGGGATCAAAGAGAAGGAAACCAAAAGCCACACACATGAATTATTCAGAATATCAGGGGAGATAACAAAACAGCTCAATAAGGCAATTGAGAAGCTCATAAAAGATATAAGTAATAAGATACTGGGCCAATTAAAGAAAATCAGTGAGTCTAAATAAGACATTAATAAAAAGCTGAACAAAACTATATAAAACATGAAGGACCTGCACAGAAAAGAATTAGAGTCCATAAAAGTGCTCCAAATAGAAATTCAAGAGATTTTCTATCAAAAGTATGGGCAGAAGAAGTAACCAATATGAGGGCAGAGCATCAGAACTAGAAGACAGGGCTATTATCAGTGACCAATTAATGAGATACCTTAAAAACTACAAGAGAACATAAAAAATGGACCCAGCAACTTCCAGGTGACACAAAACTGACTAAAATTAATTGGAATTAGTGAAAAATCAGAAAATAACACAAAGGGCATAAAAAAATCTGTTTACTAAAATAATAGCAAACTTTCACAATAAGAGAAAATAATTTAACATACAAATAAGTGAAACATGTAGAACTCCAAATAGCCAAATTCAGAAAAAAATTTCTCCATAACACATCATAGTCAAAAATCCCAGAAGTCTAACACAAGAACAGACTCTTAAAAGCCTGTAGGGAAAAACAAAAAAAATCACTTATAAAGAAAAATGCATTAGAATTACAGCAGACAGCCAGGCGCGGTGGTGCACACCTGTAATCCCAGCACTCAGGAGGCTGAGACAGGTGGGTCGCCCCATTAGAGGCCAGCCTGGGCTATATAGTGAGTTCAAGGTCAGTCTGGACTATATAGTAAGACCCTGTCTCAAAAAAAAAAAAAAAAAAGAACTGCAACAGACTTCTCAACACAAACCTAGAAGGTCAGGAGAGCTTGGAGGCAAGTGTTTCAAATCCTAAAAAAAAAATTTCCAACCCAGGCTAATATATCCTTCAAGACTATCTTTTAAAATTGATGGAGAAATGGGATAGTTTTATGAGAAAGAGCAACTAAAGAAATTCATGATCACTAAACCAGCATCTGAAAAATTCTCAAGAATACCCTAGAAAAAGACAATGAAACTAACAATGACAAATGGCCTAGTAGAATGAATAAGCCAGGTAAGGCTAGCAATTAAATAGAAGGAAAAGACAGTGAATCAGCGAACCAAAATAAGGTAATGACAAGAATAAGTCAATACATATCAGTAATGACTCTCAAGGTGAATTCCCCAATCAAAAGGCACAGGCTGGCAGACTGGATCAAGAAACAAAATCCAACAGTATGCCATTTGTAAGAAACACATTTAACCCAGAAAGAAACTCACAGATTAAAAATCAAAGGATGAAAAATAATATTCCATGCAATGGGAACCTGAAAAAAAGCAGATATTGCTATCCTATATTCAGATGTAGACTTCAAGCCAAAACTAATTAAAAGAGGCAAAGGCCATGGGGATCCTCCAACAGGAAGAGATCACAATCATTAACATATATGTACCAAATAATGCCAACCCAACTTTATCAAACAAGTACTACTGGACATAAAAGACCAGGTAAAATCACAATTATAGTAGGGGACCTCAATGCACACTAACACACACCAGACCCCCCCCCAAAAATCAACAAAGAAATATTAGATTTGAACAAATGGACTCAACAGATACATACAGAGTGCTCCATCCAACAACAAACTACACACTCCTTTCCACAGCATATGGGACTTTCTCCAAAACTGACCATATACTAGCCAATAAAGCAAGCTTAAATAAATGTAAAAGAATTGAAATAATACTACACATATTATTAGATCATAGCACAATGAAGTTAGAAGTCAACAACAAAAGAAAACACATAAATTATGCAAATGCATGAAAACTAAACAGTATACTCTTAAAGGGTTACAAAAGAAATCATGGAAAAAATAACATAATTTCTAGAACTAAATGACAATGCTAGTATAACTTATGAAGACTTATGGAACACAATGAAAGTCTTAAGAGAGAAGTTTGCCCACATCACAAAAACAAGCAAGCTCAAAGAAATAACCTAATAATGCACCTTCAAGGTCCTAGAACATCAAGAACAATCCAAACCTAAAGCTAGTACAAGGTAGGAAATTAATAAAGATCAGAAAGGAAATCAATGAAATTGAGACCAAAAAAAAAAAAAACAACACAAAGAATTAATGAATCAAAGAGCTGGTTCTTCAAAAGAATAAATAGACAAACCCTTAGCCAATCTAATCAAAAAATGAGAGAAAAGACCAAAATAAATTGAATTACAAGTGAAAAAGGTGAAATAACAATGATCTGACACTGTCAAAATCAAAGATCATTAAAGCCAGGTGTGTTGGTGCACACCTGTAATCCCAGGACTCGGAGGCTGAGGCAAGAGATTGCCATGAGTTCAAGGCCAGCCTAGGCTACACAGTGAATTCAGGGCCAGCCTGAACTACAAAGTGTGACCCTGTCTCAAAAAACAAAAAAAACAAAAAAAAAGATTATTAACAACTACTTCACAAAACTACATGCCAATAAATTGAAGAATTCAGAAGAAATGGATAGATTCCTAGATACAAATGAATTACCAAAACTAAACAAAGATTTAAAACCCTGAATAATCCAGTAACAAGCAATGAAACTGCTGCAGTAATAAAAAACCTACCAACAAAGAAAAGCCCAAGTCCAAATGGATTCACTGCTCAATTCCACAAAAACTTCAAGAAACATCTACTACTCTACGAACTTTTTAAAGAAATTGAAAGGGAAAGAGTATTCTCAAAGTCATTCTTGGAAGTTACCATCACCCTGATTCCAAAACCAGAAAAGGACCCAACCAAGAAAAGAGAACTATAGACCAATTTCTTTAAAGACTATAGATGCAAAAATCTTCAACCAGATACTGGAAAACAGACTGCAACAAATCATCAAAAAGATTATATACCCTGATCAAGCAGGCTTTATCCCAGGACATACACAAATCAAGAAATGTAATCCATCACACAAACAAAAGCAAGGACAAATATCACAAGATCATCTCAATAGATGAGGAAAAAGCCTTTAATAAAATCCAACATCTTTTCATGACAAAAACACTGAAGAAAATAAGTACAGAAAGACCACATCTCAATCTGATAAAGCTATTTATGATAAAGCTATCATCTTCAATGGGGAAACACTGAAAGCTTTCCCTCTAAAATCAGGAACAAGACAAGGATGTCCACTATCACCACTCCCGTTCAATACAGTACTAGAAACATCAAGAAAAAGAAAAAGGATAAGTATAGGAAAAAGAGAAATCAAATTATCATCTGCAAAAAACCTGATCCTCTACACAATCTTTATTTAGTGACTTATTTAGAATAGTGATCAGCAAACTTTTTCTGTAAAGAGCCAAAGAGTAAACAATTTAGGTTTTTTGGCCATAGTCTGTCATTCTAAGTGGCTATAGATAACATGTAAACAAAGGGGCATGACTGTTCTTCAATAAAGCTTTAAGCAAATAGGCTACAGGTCAGAATTGGTCCATAGGCAGTAGTGTGCTAACCCGTAGCTCCTTCTCATTTTCTCAGACCTAGAGAAAAGGATACTTTCCTTAGGAAGCCTCCATTTAATTCTCCTATTTATAATCCCTCTCTTTGTGATGATCCTATAGTATTTTAGTATTTTGTAGTTCTATCTATGCTTGTATATACTCATGTAAATATGTAGTTATACAAATATATAGCATCTCTGATAATGCAGAATTAGCTCCAAAGGGAACTCATTTACCTTTATACCTTCACCTCTGACTACAGTGATGGGTGATACGCACAGGATATGCACTCAATAAATAAGGCGTATATTTTTCAAATGTTCTCAAAAAGAAATGCATTCCATGGCTGTTGATAAAAAGAACACTTTGCTCAGCAAAGTTTTCTGCAAAGGGCCAGATGGTAAATATTTTATGCTTCACAGTCTGCTATAATTTGGATGTGGAATGTTTCCCTCTGATCCAAGTGTTAAAGGCTTGATACACAGGTAGGATGGCACTATCTGGAGGTGCTGTGGACCTCTAGGAGGTGGGGCCTTCTGGGAGAGCCTCAGGTCACTGAAGGTGTGCTCTTGAAGGGCACTGTGGAACTACCCCCATCCTCTTTCATGCTCTGCTTTCTTGCTCCTGAAGTGAGCAGTTTGCTCTACCATGTGCTCCTACTGTGATGTGCTGCCTCACCAGAGGCTCAAAGAAATAAGACCACTCAATTAGGACTGTTAACCCCAGAACCCTGAGCCAAAATAAACCTCTTTTTTTTTTTCTTTTTTGAGACAGTGTCTCGCTATGCAGTTCAGGCTGACCTTAAACTCACTATGTAGCCCAGGCTGGCCTCAAACTCACAGTGATCCTCCTGCCTCAGCCTCCAGAGTAGTAGGATTGCAGGGATGTGCCACCACGCCCGGCTTACCTTCTCTCTTTTACATCAGTTGTCTCATATATTCTGTTATAGTGATGGGAGGCTTACAAGTGAACAGGCCCATGGGTCTATCACTACTCCACTTTAACACTATAGCATAAAACAACAACAAAAGACACCAAACTTTACAAGAATAGACTGTAGGTGAGACCCAGCGTCAAGGCTGTAGTGTGCCAACTCCTCAAATGTGTTCTTATCCTAAATATGAGTGTCATAAAAACACAGTACTCATTCTAGACACACACCCTAGTTTTCTAAAAGTTAGCTCTGTTTTTCTGTTATAACACAATTTAAGAAAATTTATACCAAAAGTGTTTATATTTTACCTGAATAATTTCAGAATTAAATTTTGATTCCAAATGTGCTGCTCTTTCCACTTCAATGTTTTCTTCTAATTTTCTCACTCTGAGGGTTGTTGCCTAAAAGCAAATTAAAAGTTTAACTCATAGCTGGGTGTGGTGGCACATGCCTATAATCCCAGCTCTCCCGAGGTTGAGGCAAGAGGATTGCCACAAGTTTGAGGCCAGCCTGGTCTACATAGTGAGTTCAAGGCCAGCCTGAACTGCATAATGAGATCCTGTCTCAAAAAAAAAACGTTTAACTCATAAACATTGACATTTAAAGCAGAAACAGATGATTATATTCCAGAATTGTAATTAACACTTAGATTACTTTAGTTACAGTCTCAAATTTTGTACTCTGCCGAAGTGAAGTGTAAAAATCATGCTCAGGAAGAATGCTCCAGAACACTTTTTTTCTTTTCTAAGCTTTACTGAAGTACAGTGTGCATACAGAAAATATACAAATATATCTCTCCCCACGATGAATGTAATAATTATGTACTGGAAACACGTACTAATAAATATAAAAAGAAAAAATATCTTTGTTGATATTGTTGCTGGGCATTGAACCCAAGGCCTTGCATATGCTAACCCAGGGTCTTACACATGCTATGCAAGAGCAGTACCACTGAGCTCATTTTTCAATTGGGTTATTTTCATATTGTTGAGCTTTGAAAGTTCATTATATAATCTGTATGTATTTTGTGGATATATGATTTGTAAATATTTTCTACCAATCTACATATTGTCTTTTCATTCTTTTAACAATATCTTTCACAAAGCAAAATTGTTTATTATGATAAAATCTAATTTATCAATTTTTCAAGCAGGAATCCATTTCTGGGCCAAAACAGGAGTCAAAAGCTGTATTAATCCTATTATTGTTGAGAAAATGCAACCCTGTGAAGCACTGGGTTCCTAGTCTCAAAAAGAGAACTGGTCATGACCTCTCAGGGGCTGGGAAATTAGGACTAAGGGAATATCCAACATGTCTCAGGATAACAGCAGAAAATAAAATGCCTAGAACCTAAGAGTCAAATATAGTTAGTACAACAGTGATAAAGGCATTACTATTACATCCCTTATTGAATATATTAAAAACCAATGGATTCTGTACTTTATAAGGGTGAATTATATTGTATATGAAATATTTATCAATTTAAAAAATCAAAGAATGGAAAGGTCAAAATAATGTCAAAAAACTGACAACTACATAACTTAAACTTTTGTTCCCACTGGTGAAAAAAATCCTTTTAACTACATACCTCCTTAGAACAAGGAGCACCCAAAGATTGTGGGGTGCTTTATAAAGCATGGCACATACTTACAGCGGAGAAATTCTTATGTTTATTTCAAACCAAAATAAACATTAGCCTAGGTAGGCTCAATACTAATTTAAAAAAAAAACTATATATGCTCTACAGGATAAAGTTTCTGCCTTTAAAGAATTAATGTTGAATGTATATCCACTATGCTCATTACAGATTCTGTAAAAAGAAATCTACCCAGGGGCCAAGGATTTAGCTCAGTGGTTCCGCCACCTGCCTCACAAGTGCAAGGTCCCAAGTTTGATCCCTAGTACCAAAAAAAAAAAAAAAAGAAAGAAATCTACCCAGTCACAAGGATGTAGTCCATAGGCATCAAAAATAAAGGATTTCAAAAACTAATGAAAGAGAGAAGAAAGAAATCAGTCTAACAACATTAAAATACTTTTTCTCATTCTGAAAAGCACATATGTAGATTTCGCTATTAAAGTGACACGTATAATTCCTTAAAATACATTCTGCGATAAAACAATCAACAATCCAATCATTCATATATGTGTGTGCGTGTGTGTGCATACACATAATATTTCCACTCAGGAAGTTAAGAGGATATATTTTTACCTGTCTTAACTGAAACCAAATAGTTGAAAAATTAAGGTATCACATCTTTATTTTCAACATCTTTCTCTTTTGAGTGAAATGTCAAAAGAAAACAAATTTATAAGCTGTTTATCATTACTGAAACTATCAATAAACAAATAAAGATAGTAAGAAAAACTTTAAATGTTTAAACAGACTACATCCAAGAGTGGATTTTGCTGACAGAATAATTAGAGCCTTCCTGATAATTTTTTTTAATCTTCCAGTCTGGCAAATTAATTCTTATATCCACCAGAGGGTGCTAGAGAAGCACCAACATGCTGTTCACAAAAAAATTAGTGCAACACTCGAAGCCACACTGTCCTTTAATCCTAAAACAATCAACAATACAAGGCCAAAAAGCATAACAGAATTCTAATTAAAATACAAAATCCAACACAAATTCATATACTTAACTAATCAGGTTAACTATCTACAGTTTTGGCTGTAATACAAGTATTACACTATATTAATTCTGTTCCCTAACACTAGGAAAAATAGTCTTATTCATCACATATTTTATCATTTATTAGCTATTTGCCATGTCCAGTCCTACTGAAATATACTGTCAAGAGATTTTTATTTTAGTAAGAACTATAAGTTAATCAATCTCTCCATATATATAAATATATATAACACACATATGTATATTCTTACTTGTATCTCATTAAATCACATTAAACCAAGTTAGATAAACTATTTCATTTAAGAAAAATGTTCCATCTCTGAAGAAGGCAATGTAGAGAAAGACATCTCCTACCCAACCCTTTGGCACATGTTGCCTTATCACAAACCAGGAATGAGCTGCTCACCCCAATTCAGCAGCAGAACTAACCAAACATACCCAGATGTCTGCACACCACATTTGCTTCTACAGTTTCCATTGGCCTACTCCAAAAGTTTCACAAAAGTTCAGAAAACGTGTATAATGGATATGCTGAAAGACTGAGCAAAACAAAAAAGTTCCTACTACATTCTTTCCTCCTCAATCAAATACAATATATTCAGCTGAAGAGGATATATGTAAACTTAAAGGAATTAGTCAAGGAGAAAACTTTTTATCTATAAAACCTCGCCTGCTAAAATAGACATTAAGAAAAATAGACAGGAAACATCATACAAGTACATACTAGGTAGCAATTTCTCAGCAGTATGATATACAGTACTCTTTCCTAAACAGTTACAAAGTTTACCCAAATGTCCAACAATTTGTGTAAATAAAAAGTGATTGTTTAACTATTTTCCAGAATTTATCACCGATAATTCCCATTATTGAACACTTTTACAAGTAACCAATACAGTAGTGATCCTTTTTCAAAAAGATGATTCTAAGGGACTGGATCATCATAGACTAATTTTACAATGTCTATTTTGGTGCTAAGCACATTTTATTTTGTTGTATTTTAATGACTCTAAACAGTTTTTATGTGTCTTAATAGTTATCTACAATACTTATTCCTTACTAGAACGAAGGGGAAAATAGTTGCTACATTTTTGAACCCTGAAAATGAAGTGCTCAAAAATTTTTTTATTATAAAAAGACACCCAAGGCCAGGGATGTAGCTCAGTGGTGTCATGCCTGCCTGGAAAGCATAAGTTCCATTCCTGACATGGAAAAAAAAGACCCAAAGCTTCCAGGAATATAGCTAAGAACTATCTATGAGTCTTTTACTGTTTATCATCCTTGTTTTAATCAATAGCTTAAAAAGCAATATTATTCAATGTGACCTTTAATGAGGGATCTTTAAAAGCAGTTATTTTGCTAAATATTACTTCTACATGAAAGAATGTACTTACATTATCAATGACACAAACCCTACAGTTGAATGTTAATATTCTACAGCTCTCAAATAAGCCTTGTTTGTATTTGACTTCTACAATAATGTGGTATGTTTTACCAAATAAAAAACCCTATATTTCATAGTATCTAATATTTTAAATCATAACGAGGCATTCTAGTTTGAAGGGTCTATGTTTGTTTTTAAGTAGCACTCTTATTTTCTATGTAGCCAGCACAGTATGTAAAAACAACAAGTCTACTCAGAGGCAAAATTAATGCTGCTCTATGAGTCAGAACATGGACCTGCTGTGTAGAATTGAATACCTGGCCTCCTGGTCAGGGAAGTCTAATCCATTGAATTGTATAGTAACAGAAGTAAAAATGCATTAAATTTAATCCTGCAAAGCAAATGCTACTGTATAGAAATATTTAAAAGATTATTACAAACAAATGAATATGTTTGAACTTTTTGCGTGATAATCTCATTGTTACATATTTTATTGTAATGATCAACTAAAAAGGAGAATGGCACATTTAAAACATACCTGCGACCATACTGGGTCCTTGCCTGAAAAGGTCAAAGTGGGTGCTGACACCTCTGTGAGCATTTCCACTCCAAGTAAGAAAAGGCCTGTGTTACAGATGAAAACTGATTTGTCTCTAAGAGACAATCCTTATATTTCTCTGTTGTGACCATTCATTTGTAACTGTTTTATTAATGCCCAAATCATACTTGTTTCCAGAATCTTCTAGATTATTTTATGGAAACAGGCTGACTTAAAGCAATTCTTACTCTTGATAGTAGTCTCAAAAAATAGCTAAACAACAAATATCCAGAGCTCTTTGTGCTACTCATCTTGACCATGGTTAATGTGCAGTTTTGAGAATAAGAAAAAAAGCTAAAGCCACAACAGCAATGAGTGAAATTTTACCAGTTTCGAAAAGTACATATTGGGCCGGGGATTTAGCTCAGTGGTTTTAGTGGTTTTGCCACCTGCTGTGCAAGTGGAAGGACCAGAGTTCGATCCCCGGTACCAAAAAAAAAAAAAGTACATATTAAGTCAAATGGATATCGAGAATAAATTGGAGAGCCACCAGTTTTCTTATTCAGCAAGAAATGAATAATGAACTACATCACTGAACTTATAAAAATACTTTAAAGGGAAAAAAATCTATTACTTTTTAGTAAAAAAAAAAAAAAAAAAAACACAAGCCAAAAAAGAAAAAAAATAGGAAGTATCATGAGCATAATTTCTAGGTGACAAATTCCGAACAGCACAGTAATAAACTAATTTAGCTTCTTTTAAAAATTGTCTTTATCTTTTCTGACAACAAAAAAAATCAGTATTTAACAAATTTTGAAAATTCAATATTAATACAAAACGTTGTATTTAAATGTGTTAATACTTACAAGTGTGAACATATAACGCAAGTGATTTCATCACTTACCTACTTATAATAATTCCTACAAACACATGATGGTTTTAAAAAGATGAATTATACAAGTCTACCTTCATAGACAATTATGAAAAATGAAATATATTTTTCTTTTCCTTTTTCACTTACATTTCGATATACATTTCGCTACTTTCTATCCTTCTTTATGTCACTACAATACAGCATATGACTGACAGAAGCAATTCAGAATTCATTTGCAAAGACTCTCTCCACTGTAATCTCCAAGAGACTCTTCTGTTCTCTCAGAATCAGGTTTGCATCTTCTCTTTTCTCTTTTCTTATTGAGTTAAGCTTATTTCCCATGATAATAAACTCCCCTAGTTGTAAAGAGGCTTATAAAAGCCATAGATATTTCTTTTTTCAGTTCACTTTTCCCTTGATTCTGTGGTTTCCAGCACCACACTCATAAAATTGGACTGGGAGTTTGTTTTTTTTTAATCTAAGAAACCATTGATCCATGTTACAATGATTAAGCCATGCAATGGTAGACAGCTTATCAGATTTGAAAAACATATTACATATAGATACATTTTTTTAACTCAAACACAAAGAAATCAACCTTTATGAAATGTAACTGTTAAAAAGCTTCACTAAAAGTTAGAACATTTCACATTTTATTAGGCTAAATGTCTAATATTGGTTGCTTCAATCTGATATTAGTGATATTAAAAATGTCTTTATTTAAATTAAAACTAACAAGGACCAGGACCAGGTGGCGGGAGCGGCGGCCTCGGTGGTGTGGAGGGACATGCGGACCGACGGCCCCTAGATCGGCGGAAGAAGGGAGGCCCCAGCGCCCTGCCCATAGAGCTGATTGTCCAGCGAGAGTGACAGGCATGGGCAAGCAAAGACCTGGTGGATTGTCTTGGGCTGTGGCTAGCTGTGGAGCTAGAGCCCTGGATGGCCCTGGAGCCAGCCCCAGGGAGGATGATGGTGCTCTTTGTGCCTGCACTCGTGAGGCTTGGTTCGGTGGCAGGTGCCCATGGCGACAGCAAACCTTTGTTAAGGTCCCCGAGGACCAGACAGGGCTTTCAGGAGGGGTAGCATCTTTTGTGTGCCAAGCCACTGGAGAACCTAAGCCATGCATCACATGGATGAAGAAGGGGAAGAAAGTTAGCTCCCAGCGGTTTGAGGTAATTGAATTTGATGACGGGGCAGGGTCAGCGCTGCGGATCCAGCCATTGCGGGTACAGCGAGACGAAGGCATCTATGAGTGCACAGCCACCAACAGTTTGGGCGAGATCAACACTAGTGCCAAACTCTCAGTGCTTGAAGGGGAGCAGCTCCCGCCTGGGTTCCCATCCATTGACATGGGCCCTCAGGGGAAGGTGGTGGAGAAGGCGTGCACAGCCACCACGCTTGTGTGCAGCTGGCGGAAATCCAGATCCCGAGATCTCTTGGTTCAAGGACTTCCTTCCTGTGGATCCTGCCACAAACAATGGCCGCATCAAACAGCTACGTTCAGGTGCTTTGCAGATTGAGAGCAGTGAGGAGTCGGACCAAGGCAAGTACGAGTGTGTGGCAATCAACTCAGCAGGCACACACTACTCGGCCCCCGCGAACCTGTATGTGCGAGTCCGCCGTGTGGCTCCTCGTTTCTCCATCCCTCCCAGCAGCCAGGAGGTGATGCCAGGTGGCAGCGTGAACCTGACATGTGTCGCAGTGGGTGCACCCATGCCCTACGTGAATTGGATGATGGGAGCTGAGGAGCTCACCAAGGAGGACGAAATGCCAGTTGGCCGCAATGTACTGGAGCTCAACAACGTCATGCACTCTGTCAGCTACACCTGTGGGGCCATCTCCTCACTGGGCATGATTGAGGCCACAGCCCAGGACACAGTGAAAGCTCTCCCAAAGCCACCGATTGATCTTACAGTGACAGAGACGACTGCCACCAGCATCACCCTGACCCGGGACTCTGGGAATTCGGAGCCTGTGTCCTACTACGGCATCCAATACCAAGCAGCTGGCACAGAGGGCCCCTTCCAGGAGGTGGATGGTATGGCCACCACCCACGACAGCATTGGCGGCCTCAGCCCTTTCTCTGAATATGTCTTTCGAGTGCTGGCAGTAAACAGCATCGGCAGAGGGCCACCCAGTGAGGTGGTACGCACACACACTGGAGAACAAGTGCCCTCCAGCCCTCCACACCGTGTGCAGGCCTGCATGCTGAGCACCAGAACCATGCTGGTGTAGTGGGAGCCTCCTGAGGAGCCCAATGGCATGGTGCGGGGATACCGCGTCTATTGCACCCCAGACTCCTGTCGCCCTCTGAGGCCTGGCACAAGCACAACACTGATGCAGGGCTTCTCACCACTGTGGGCAGCCTGCTGCCTAGCATCACCTACAGCCTGCGCATGCTCACTTTCACGGCCGTGGGTGATGGCCCACCCAGCCCCACCATCCAGGTCAAGACGCAGCAGGGAGTTCCTGCGCAGCCTGTGGACTTCCAGGCTGAGGCTGAGTCAGACACTAGGATCCAGTTGTCATGGCTGCTGCCACCACAGGAGCGGATCAAGTATGAGCTGGTGTACTGGGCAGCAGAGGATGAAGGCCAGCAGCACAAGGTGACCTTCAACCCTACCTCCTCCTACACCCTGGAGGACCTGAAGCCTGACACGCTGTACCGCTTCCAGCTGGCGGCCCGCTCCCACATGGGGGTGGGAGTCCTCAGCCCCACCATAGAGGCCCGCACAGCATAGTCTACCCCCTCCGCCCCTCCCCAGAAGGTGACATGTGTGAGCACGGGCTCCACCATGGTCCGGGTAAGTTGGGTCCCACCACGGGCCAACAGCCGCAATGGTGTTATCACCCAATACTCCATGGCCTATGAGGCAGTGGACGGCGAGGACCACAGGCGGCATGTGGTGGATAGTATCAGCCACAAGTACTCCAGCTGGGACCTGGTGGGCCTGGAGAAGTGGACCGAGTACCAGGTGTGGGTGCAGGCACACACAGATGTGGGGCCCAGTCCTGAGAGCAGCCCGGTGCTGGTGCGCACTGACAAGGGTGTGCCTAGCAGGCCACCGTGGAAGGTGGAGGTGGAACCACTGAACTCCACTGCTGTGCATGTCTCCTGGAAGCTGCCTGTCCCCAGCAAGCAACATGGTCAGATCCGCGGCTACCAGGTCACGTATGTTCGGTTAGAGAATGGTGAGCCCCAAGGCGCACCCATCATTCAGGACGTCATGCTGGCGGAGGCCCAGGAAACCACCATCAGTGGCCTCACCCCAGAGACCACCTACTCCATTACTGTTGCTGCCTACACTACCAAAAGGGACGGTGTCCAAAGCAAGCCCAAAATTGTTACTACAACAGGAGCAGTCCCAGGCCGGCCCACCATGATGATCAGCACCACAGCCATGAACACTGCACTGCTTCAGTGCCACCCACCCAAGGAGCTGCCCGGAGAGCTGCTGGGCTATCGGCTGCAGTACCGCTGGACCAATGAGATGCAGCCCAACATCATAGATTTTGGCAGAGATGACCAGCACTTTACAGTCACTGGCCTACACAAAGGGGCCACATATGTCTTCTGGCTTACTGCCAAGAACCGAGCTGGCCCAGGTGAGGAGTTTGAGAAGGAGATCACAACCCCTGAGGTTGTGCCCAGTGGCTTTCCCCAAAACCTACGAGTGACAGGATTGACCGCATCTACCACGGAGCTGGCCTGGGACCCACCAGTGCTGGCGGAGAGGAACGGGCGTATCACCAATTACACTGTGGTGTACCGTGACATCAACAGCCAGCAGGAGCTACAGGACATCACTGCTGACACCCACTTTACACTCTCCGGCCTCAAGCCAGATACCACTTATGATGTCAAGGTCTGCGCACATACCAGCAAAGGTGCTGGCCCACTCAGCCCCAGCATCCAGTCCCGGACCATGCCTGTGGAGCAAGTGTTTGCCAAGAACTTCCGTGTGGCCACTGCAATGAAGACATCTGTGCTGCTCAGCTGGGAAGTCCCTGACCCCCTCAAGTCAGCCGTACCCTTCAAGATTCTGTACAATGGGAAGAGTGTAGAGGTGGATGGGCACTTGATGCACAAGCTGATCTCAGACCTGCAGCCTAACACAGAGTACTCATTTGTGCTCATGAACCGTGGCAACAGTGGAGGGGGCCTACAACACCTCGTGTCCATCCGCACAGCCCCTGACATCCTGCCACACAAGCCACTACCTGCCTCGGCCTACATAGAGGATGGCTGCTTCACCCTCTCCATGCCCCCTGTGCAGGACCCCTCACTGGTCAGGTGGTTCTACATTGTGGTGGTGCCCATTGACCGTGTGGGCGGGAACATACTGGAACCAAGATGGAGCACACCCGAGGAACTGAAGCTGGATGAGCTTCTGGAGGCCATTGAGCAGCGTGGTGAGTCACAGCAGCAGCGTTGGCAGCAGGCAGACCAGCTAAAGCTATATGTGGCAGCTCAAATGGATGTGCTCCCTGAGACCGTCACTCTGGGGGACAAGAAGACCTACCAGGGCTTCTACAACCAGCCACTCTCTTCAGAGCTGAGTTACCAGTGCTTTGTACTCGCTTTCCTGAAGGAACCTGTGGACCAGAAGTGCTATGTCACCAGCCCCTACTCGGACAAGATTGTAGTCCAAGTGACACCAGCTCAGCAGCAAGAGGAACCGGAGATGCTGTGGGTGACAGGCCCCATCCTGGCAGTCATCCTTATCATACTTATTGTCATTGCCATCCTCCTCTTTAAGAGGAAAAGGACCCACTCCCCATCATCAAAAGATGAGCAGTCAATTGGGCTGAAGGACTCCCTGCTGGCCCACTCCTCTGACCCTGTGGAGATGAGGAGGTTCAACTACCAGACCCCAGGTATGCGAGACCATCCACCCATCCCCATCACCGACCTGGCAGATAACATTGAGCGCCTCAAAGCCAACGATGGCCTCAAGTTCTCCCAGGAATATGAGTCCACTGACCCTGGACAGCAGTTCACTTGGAAGAATTCCAACCTGGAGGTGAACAAGCCCAAAAACCACTACACAAATGTCATTGCCTATGACCACTCTCGAGTCATCCTGACCTCCATCGACAGTGTCCCTGGGAGTGACTACATTAACGCCAACTACATCGATGGCTACCAAGAGCAGAATGCCTACATCATCACACAGGGCCCACTGCCCAAGACCATGGGTGATTTCTGGCGGATGGTGTGGGAACAGTGCATAGCCATTGTGGTCATGATGACACGCCTGGAGGAGAAGTCCCGGGTAAAGTGTGATCAGTACTGGCCACCCCGTGGCACTGAGACCTACGGCCTCATTCAGGTGACCTTCCTGGACACTGTGGAGCTGGCTACATATACTGTGTGCACCTTTGCACTCCACAAGAGTGGCTCCAGTGAGAAGCATGAGCTGCGTCAGTTCCATTTCATGGCCTGGCCAGACCATGGGGTTCCCGAGTACCCAACTCCCATCCTGGCCTTCCTGCGAAGGGTCAAGACCTGCAACCCACTAGATGCAGGGCCCATGGTGGTGCACTGCAGCACTGGTGTGGGCCGCACAGGCTGCTTCATCGTTATTGATGCCATGCTGGAGCATATGAAGCATGAGAAGACAGTCGACATCTATGGCCATGTGACGTGCATGCGATCACAGAGGAACTACATGGTCCAGACAGAAGACCAGTATGTGTTCATCCATGAGGTGCTGCTGGAGGAGGCCACAAGTGGACACACTGAGGTGCCTGCCTGCAGCCTCTATGCCCACATCCAGAAGCGGGGCCAAGTGCCTCCCGGGGAAGAGTGTGACTGCCATGGAACTGGAGTTCAAGTTGCTGGCCAGCTCCAAGGCACACACATCTCGCTTCATCAGTGCCAACCTGCCCTGCAACAAGTTTAAGAACCGCCTGGTGAACATCATGCCCTATGAACTGACCCATGTCTGTCTGCAGCCCATCCGTGGTGTGGAGGGCTCCAATTACATCAATGCCAGCTTCCTGGATGGATATAGACAGCACAAGGCCTACATAGCTACACAGGGGCCTCTGGCAGAGAGCACCAAGGACTTCTGGCACATGCTATGGGAGCACAACTCCACCACCATCGCCATACTGACCAAGCTTCGGGAGATGGGCAGGGAGAAGTGTCACCAGTACTGGCCTGCAGAGCACCCTGCTCGCTACCAGTACTTTGTTGTTGACCCAATGGCTGAATACAACATGCCACAGTATATCCTGCATGAGTTCAAGGTCACGGATGCCTGGGATGGGCAGTCGAGGACAATTCGACAGTTCCAGTTCACAGACTGGCCTGAGCAGGGCGTACCCAAGACGGGGGAGGGCTTCATTGACTTCATCGGTCAAGTGCACAAGACCAAGGAGCAGTTTGGGTCAGGATGGACCCATTACAGTGCACTGCAGTGCTGGTGTGGGCCGCACCCGAGTCTTTATCACTCTGAGCATAGTCTTGGAACGCATGTGCTACGAGGGCGTGGTCGACATGTTCCAGGCTGTGAAGACCCTGCGCACACAGCGTCCTGTAGTGGTGCAGACAGAGGACCAGTACCAGCTATGCTACCGTGCAGTCCTGGAGTACCTCGGCAGCTTTGACCACTATGCAACGTAACTACTGCTCCCCTCTCCTCCGCCGCCTCCACCGGGGGGCTTCGGAGGGGACCCAGCTCCTCTGAGCCATACTGACCTTCGTCCAGCCCTCCTGCACAGATGCTGTTGCCAGCAAAGGACAGCCCACTGGGATCACAGCATTTCAGGAACATTGCCACACCAATCAGAGAGCCCAGAGCACCTCTGGGCAAGTGGGTGGCTGGCAGGCAGGCGATGTGGCCCCTCTGTCCACCAGGCCCAGCTAGAGCCTGCTTCAAGCTCTCATTCAGCTCCATGTTTCTCATGCTTCTTTTCATGGGGTGGGGATAGGGTCAAAGCCTCCATTTTTATATGTTAGTGGGGTAGACTGAGGGATTCTAGCCTCTTCCCTCTGATTTTTCCTTTCACAAATCCTTGATTGCAGAATGGGCCACTGTGGGGGTTGGGGCTCATTTTGTTTTCCTTTTTGAGTTCACTTTGGGTCCCTTTTCTGTATGCCTTTTACTGCTACGGACAGAACATGCCTTCCTCCTGTGGAGCTGGGGTCAGCAACCTTCGAGAAACTTGGCCACAGACTCAGGAGGTGGCACTGATCGGGCTGCTCTTCCAGCCCTCAGACAAGATCCTTTTCCAGCCAAATGCAGGGAAACCGTTTTTAAGGTTTTGTTTTAGTTTTCCTTCAGAGCCTTTTTTGGGCCCCACAGACAGTGGTGGGTGGGCAGGCGATAGGAAACACACAGCCCAGTCGTCTTTTCCAGTGTGTTTAACATTCACAGGCCACAACCACAGACATGTCTGGGGAGCCTGGCAAGGCATTCCCCATCACCATTGTGTTTGCAAAGGTACAAAAAACAAAAAACAAAAGTACAAAAAATGACAAAAATTTAAAAAACAACAAAAAAGAAAAAAGTCATCCCCTGGCCTCTGCTTCAAACCCCCAAGAGGTAGGTGACTCCATGCACCCAGGGTTCCCAGGAGGCCCGCAGACTCACTGGTCCTCCTACACTGCAATATGGCAGGTGGTTACAGGCCGGGGGTCTGGCCATGTGGCCAAGCAAATGGCACAGGTCAGGGTGTGACCTCAGGGCCAAGCGGGGGCATGGCCGGCCCTTCAGGTCCAGGCCAGCGGGCCTAGTAGCACATATCTGTCCTCAGCAGGGGTTGGATGATTTCTCCCTGGATTGCAGCTGTTTTCAAAGCCCCCTGAGAATCGCTCTTTTCCACTCCTTCAAGATGCCCTCATAAACCAATGTGGCCAGACTACTGGACTTCTGTTGATGGTACTATAATCAGTCTTCTTATCTTGGCTTGCTGAGGAGCAGGGCGAGGGCCTCTTCCTCCAAGTAGCACTATCTAGATAGGTAAATGGGGGCGGGGAAGGGTGCATAGCTGTTTTAGCCAAGGGACTTGATGGAGATGTCGCCAAATCTAGCTAGGCTAAGTCAAGAGCAACAATCTAGGGTTGGTAATGTTGGATGAAACATTCATTTTTACCTTGTGGATGCTAGTGCTGTAGAGTTCACTGTTGTACACAGTCTGTTTTCTATTTGTTAAGAAAAACTACAGCATCATTGCATAATTCTTGATGGTAATAAATTTGAATAATCAAATTTCGTAAAAAAAAATTTTTAAAAACTAACAATTTTCCTCTTATTATCTCAGTGTCTTTTAAAACACCACTGATAATTATCCAAGTAACTAGAATTACGGGTAGTTCAGGTCTACAAAACTGAATGAAAATAGCATAAAATGTTCTGAAGAAATTCAATTTCTAAAAAAACAAGAAATTTAACTTCTTATTCATTATGTCATCATGTAGACAAATAGCTAATTCAAAATACATTCACTTAAATATAGACCAAAAATTGTAAAGGTATCTAAATATGAAGAATCACAGATAAGTCAGAGGATTACATTTGCCCACTTCTTATAAATGGAATAAAAATAGATATTATCAAGGCTACCTTCAAAGCTTCAAACTGCTCAAAAGCAGAGATCTCCTACTATAAAAAAATTATTAGCTAAAAAGCATAAAGTAAAAATAAAACTAGTCTAAATATTTGTAACATAAACCAATAAAAAAGATATCACACCAATTAAGTATTTTACAGGGGAAAAAAATCAAAACTGCTTTATTCACAAACATATTTTAAAGTTTTTCAAATTAGACAGACTAGCTTACCAAAAATTCTACCAACAAAAAAGAAATCACACTTAACTAGTATTTCTTCACAACTATAAGGCCATGAAAATGTTTTTAGTGATGATCATAGGATTTTATAGCATTCTAAAGTTACATCTAAAATTTTTATTCTAATATTCAAAACATTAAGTCTATACTAATTCTCTTCATAAAGTTATTTATAAACTATGTACTATTTTTAAATGGTGATATAAAATATCATCATCTATTCTTAAATTTATTGGCCTGAAAACATGCCATGAAAAATAAGTTTAAAATTTTTTTCTGTTTTGTTTTTTAAGACAGGGTTTCACTATGTAGTTCAGTTCAGGCTGGCCTTAAACTCATTATGTAGCAGAGGCTGGCCTCAAACTCACAGCAATCCTCCTATCTCAGCCTCCTGAGTGCTGGGATTACAGACATCCACCACCATGCCTGGCAGTTAAAATATTACTTAGAATATAATTTCATTTTTAATTCATTTTCTAACCTTATACAAAATAAAGCTATGTATGGTGACAACTGTAATTTTATCTTTGCCTAGATCATACTTAGCATTACTACTGAGAATTCCTATATACCCTACACCCAGTTTTTGCCATTATTAACATTTTATATTAGTATGGTACAAATAACCCATTCTAAAAATGGAAAAGAGATCTGAGTAGATACTTCTCCAAAAAGGATATACAAACGGCCAATAAGCACATGAAATGGTATTTAACAGCATTAGTCATTACTGAAATGAAATTCAAAACAATGAGATGCTGCTGTGGTTTAGACCCAAAGCCTCTTGTGTTGGGAAGATGACTGGATTATGTAGCATTAGGTCTGAATTGTGCTGTTGTTAGGAGGTGGGATCTGATTGGAAGAGGCAGGTCCCTGTGAGTGTGACCCAGAAGGGTGTACCTCCCTTCCTGGCTCTTCAGCTGACTCTGCTTTCTGACTGCCATGACATGAGTCGCTTTCCTCTACCCAGGCCCTTCCACCATGCAAGGACTAAAACTTCTAAAACATGAGCCAAAATAAATCTTTCTTCCTCTAAGTTTCAGACATCAGGTATTTTCTCCCCATAACTAAAACAGATACCATTTCAAACCCAAGAGGGTGGTAATAATAAAAAGACTAGACATTAATAAGTATTTGGTGAAGATGTGGAGAAACTGGAACCCTAATACATTGCTAGTAGTAATGTTAAATAGTGCAAATAATCTGATGGTGAAAAGGATAGTAATCACAGGGAGACTGTGTGACCCAGAAATTCCACTCCTGGGTGTATAATCAAGAGAACTGATAACATACCCAAATACTTATACATAAATGTTCACAGCAGGATTATTACTAATAACCAAAAAGGAGAAACAATACAAATAACCATCAGCTAGTGTATGCATATGCAAAATGTGATACATCATACAGTGGAATACTACTCAGTTCTAAGAAGCAACATGGATGAATATTGAAAACATTGTGAGAAGTGAAAAGGTCAGTCAGAAAAGGCCACCTATTATAATTCCACACAGAATAGGCAAATCTGTAGAGACAAAACATAGGGCTCAGAGGGGTGGGAAAACAGGACAGTGATGTCTAATGGGAATTAAGTTAGGTTTATCAGGGTGGTAAAAACGTTCTAAAATTGATTGTGAAGCATATTGTACAATGCTGTAACTATACTAAAAACTAGTGAATAATAAGTTTTATTTGGGGGACTTATTTTTTGGTTTTGGGGGGCTGTCCTTTGTGGGGTTTTTTTCTGTTTTTTGTTTTGAGACATGGTCTCTCTCTGTGTAGTCAGGCTGCTCTTGAACTCATTATGTAGCCCAGGCTGGCCTCAAACTCACAACAACCCTCCTGCCTCAGCCTCCTGTGTGCTGGGATCACAGGTGTGTGCCACCACATGTGGCTATGGATGAATTTATAGGACACAAATTAAATCATATTTTTCATTTGTACATTGATGCTCCCTTCTCATCTGAAGACTCACCTTAAAAATATCCACAAAACTAGGTAGTATAAATGATTCAAATGACAAAATTTGAATTTAATATCATTTTTGCCATTTCAGATCCAAGTATATTAAATCTTTTCCTATGTTGCTTCCTCACCCTTATGAACAGTTGCTCTCATACATCCCAAATATTCCATGAGAACTATGTTTAAACTGACATATTTTAAACTCAGGGGCAAAAGATAAAATCCTTTATTCAGGTACAGAAATTTTCAAACAAACCAAATATAAAATATAAGTATTCCCCAAATTTAGTTCTAAGCTTATTGTAATATAAAATTTTCTCTAATCTTAAATCACTACATTAATAACATACATATGTTATAAAAGAATGGTAAAACATACCTCAAATTCTTTTCTAAGACATTCTTCTCGTTGAGTACTAAATTCAAGTTCACTTGTTTGTCGCTGTAAAAGGTTAGAGCACTCCATATGTTCTCTCTCTAATTGTTCTACTTTCTTGTGCATATTCTGTACAGCACTATCTTGCTCCTGGAAAATAATTCATATTTTTTTCAGTAAAGTTTATAAGCCATCCATGACTAAAAATTACCAGATAGAAAGGACAACAAATCTGTGCTCCAAACATAATATGCTAATTTATACAGGCAAGAGAGGCCTAAATATTTTTTCACAATATTTCAAAATACATTTGTTTTTAAAAGTACTACTGGAGTTTTACTATTTAAAAAAATCTGACTGATACATATTACAACTGAAAATGTATACAGCAGACTAGAATGCTATGCTAGTTCAACTGGCCTCTGAGGGTATTTACATAGTGCTGTAGTTCAACTGCTATACATAATGTTTACCCTTCTGATTAAATTTTAAAGTATTTAGTAATACAAGCATATATGGTCCCTTTGTGTAATAAGGAATGATTAGCTTGAAGGCTTAATAATGACCCGAGAGATTTTTATAAGAGCTCATTTTTGTAAGCATACAGTTTATGCTTATAGATTTTAAAAGTTGTATCCACTAGACGGCTGTTTCATTTCTTCTTCAATTTTCAAAAGGTGTTCAAATCTTTGCTGTACTATTGAAAGAAAAATATAGTCTTCCATTTAAATCTCTCCATCTTCTTTTTCAACTAAACTCAGAAATTGGAGCTGAAGTTTAAACAAAGAGTTTTACTGAAGTTCAAACAAAGAGGTAACATATGCATCAAAGATGCTAATTTAGATTCACACTAATCTAGATTCATCATTCTGACTTCAATCCTCTATCAGAGCCCTCTTTCCCACTTCTCCTCACCAGCATACTCTTATTCATAGACATACACACATGTATCTGTGCATGTTTCCAAGAATTCCTAGCCAAAGATAGCATCAAAATCTAGGTATGTAATTCTCAAGTATAACTCTTTCTCAAAGATTGTAGTTTGCAAAGTATCACTTCTACATACAAAAACCCTTTAAAACACAGTAAGCACTAAACAAGAAACCATTATTCTATATTATAGGTCTCTCTCTTTCAAACAGTCAATACCACCACTATTTATTCAAAATTACTGTTAAATTATATGCCTTCTTCATTTAAAACATACAATCTCCAACTTTTAATTCTCCACTTACATACTACATATCTTTTAACGTGTATATACAGCAATTTGCATGCTGAATCACAAAGTAAACCAAACAATTTGAAGTAAAAAATAAAGCAAGAGTCTATATCCAAAAGATGTCTACATCCTTTTTGATGGGCAATTATGTTACTCAATATTAATCAAAGTAAAAGAAATTATTCAGGATGCATTAGGGGTGTATTTCGGTGGTACAGTGCCTGCCTGGCATGCACGAGGCCCTAGGTTCAATCCCTAGGACCATAAAAAAATTATTGAGGAAGTCTTATGGGATTTATTTGTAAAAAAACATAGCCAATGGTCCATCAAGAAAGAGCTGGGTACAAGGAAGTTGGGGGAAGAAAACATGACTTATGGTTTGTAATTCCCATTTTATTGATAAATAGTAAAGATAACATATAATCTTTCTAAAACCCATTATTCTAAACAAAGAATGTGCCCATTATTCCATGTGAATTGAATTTAATCCTATTTTTTCAAACCTGGAAAACCAAAGGCTAATCAATTAGACCCTATTATGTTTACTTGGAAGGTTTTTACCTTTATGATACCAGATTTTTATTAAACATACCCTACAAAAAAAATTACCTACAAATTGCTTCTAAATAAGAGTATTTCAAGATGTAGATGAAACTGACCTAACAATTGTATTTTCCAGGCAGAGATTAAGAAGTCACATATTATAATTATTATTCATTTTGGGATACAGATATAAACATACACACGACATTATATGTTTCTCGAAAAAGATACTCCTCAACTAGTTCAGATTTTTAGGAATTCTATAACAAGAAGTCATGTTACACTAATTAACTGACTATATTCAGATAAATTACTTTGATTTTCTAATGTTAAACCTACCTGATATTTATTATATATTTTTATATTTTATCTTTTTTAAATTTTGCTACTTTGGGTTGGCTAATACTTGTGTAATATTTTTGCATGTATATTCATGAGTGAGATTAGCTATAGTTATCTTTTCTTGTATCCCTGTCAGCCTAGAATCAGGATTATGTTATCAAGATTTTTCCAGGCCGGGGATTTAGCTCAGTGGTTCTGGTGCCTGCCTTGTAAGCCCAAGGTTCCGAGTTCAATCTCTAGTACAAAAAAAAAAGATTTTTCCATTCTCTGGAGGAGTTTGGTTTTTTCATTCATGACTAAAGTAACATGGGCCTGAAGTTTTTGACAGTGACTCAGTTTAATGGATATAGGTCTACACAGGTTTCCTATTTTCTACTTAGGTGGAGAAAGAGAGTGATTATATGTGTATATATCATGGTTGAAAGGTCTCTTGGTCTCTCACTCTCAAATACAACAAAATGTGATACTGTATCTGAAAAAATTCCCCAACATAAGAGATGAAGTCTAAAATTAAACAGTGGGGAGAGGGACTGGGAGAAAGAGATACGTGAAAAGGAAATAACTTTAAAATATCCTCAAAGAACATAAGCAGCTGAAAAAAGGTGAAAAAAGCCCCTAAAAGTCCTTTCCTCCAAGAGCCAGGCATGGTGACACACATCTGTAATCCCAGCACTCTGAGAGGCAGGAGGATCACAGGTTTGAGCCCAACTAGGGCAACTGAGTGACTTAGCAAAACCTTGTCTCAAAAACAAAAAATAAAGAGATGGAGAGGTATCTCAGTGCAAAGGCCCTGATTCAGTCTTCTTTAACATGATAATGCATAACTTGAATTCAATTTCTTCCTCTAAGGATAATGTTGGCAAATCTTTCATACGTATACCAGATCCATCAGGGAACCAAAGTTGTTGCCAATTTCCAAGGTGATATGAGTGCCTCAAATATGTGTCTTCAAAACAATTTCAAGTAAGTTTCAGTTATTTTGTTCTATTTGAGTCAAGTTATACTTTCTTCATACTAAAATGGTGCAGTCAAAATGTCCTGTTTTTCCTGTCTGCATATAAACTGATAGGTATATTTTCCCTAATTTCTTCTATAAACCATACACTTTATGTCTTTAAAAAAAAAATCTAAATATTCTAAGTTGGTATTCTAACAACTGACAACAAAAATATATATATTTCTTCTAGGAACCCTAAAGCTCTCAAAGTAGATGTTTTTTCCCAATTAGTCCCATATATGCAGCCAATCCAGACCTGCTCATCTCCTCATACCTCAACAGTTGTCAGCAGAAACATATGAATGTAGTCTCCTCATGAAAATGAAGTAATAATATTAAGTGAAGGTGCTTAAAATCCATTATCTAAATGAATTTTTCTTTCAAATTGGTAAATTAATTTTAAAAGTTCAGAGAGAAATTACTGAAGTAGATGTCCAAAAGAATTTGCTTCCTTTACTGTGCAAAAGGTGTTTAGTTTGATATAATACCATTCATCTATTTCTTCTTTTGTTTCTTGTACTTCTGGGATTTTGTTCAAAAGAACTCTTTGCCTATTCCAACATCCTGAAGCATTTCCACTACCTCCTCTTCTAGTAGTTTCACAGTTGCAGGTCTTAAGTCTTTGATGGATTTTGAGTTGATTTTTGTAACTAGTGAGAGATAGAGGTCTAGTTTCATTCTTCTGCATGTGTACATTCAATTTTCCTACCATCATTTATTGAAAATACTTTCCTTTCACCAAAGTGTATGTATTCTTAATGCCTTTGTTGAAAATCAGTAGACTAGAGAAGTACGGGTTTATTATATATTCTCTATTCTGTTCCATTGGTCTATGCATCTGCTTTTATGACAAAACCAAGGTGTTTTGATTACAACAGCTTTGTAATATATATTGACCCAATGTCTCCTGATTTGTTGTTCTTGCTCAAGATTGCTTTGGCTGTTCAAGGGGTTTTGTTGTTGTTGTTGTTCCATACAAATTTTAAGACATTGGCAAACAGAATACAGCAAATCATCAAGATGATTATACACCATGACCAAGTAGGAGTCATCCCAGGGATGTAGGGATAGTTCAACATATGAAAATCAATAAATGTAATGCACCATATCAACAAGGCCAAGGACAAAAGACATACGATTATCTCAATAGGTGCAGAAAAAAACATCTGACAAAGTCCAACACCCATTCATGACAAAAATCCCTACAGAAAATTGGAATAGTCTTTTATCTCAATCTGATAAAAGGCACACATGACAAACCAACATCCAACATCATACTAAATGGACAAAAACTGAAAGCTTTCACTCAAAAATCAGGAACAAGACAAAGATGCCAACTATCACCACTTTTATTCAATATAGTTCTGGAAACATTAGCCAGAGCAATTAGATAAGAGAAAGAAATAAAAGGAATGAGGGTAAGAAAGGCAGAAGTTACATTATCATTATTTTAGGATGACATGATACTCTACATAAAACAGCCCCAAAACTTCACCAAAAGACTTCTAGATTTAATAATCAAATTCAGCAGCGCAGCTGGATATAAAGCCAACCCTCAAAAATCAACAGCATTTCTGTACATGAATAACATAATCACTGTGAGAGAAATTAGGGAAACAGCACCTTTCACAAGAGCATCCAAAAAAATGAAACACCTAGGAATCAATCTAATGAAAGAAGTAAAAGACCTTTACACTGAAAACTACTATATTCTGAAAAAGGAGATAAAAGAGGATATCAGAAAATGGAAAGATATCCCTTGTTCTTGGGTACGAAGAACTAATATAATCAAAATGGCCACACTCCCAAAATAGTTATACAGATTTAATTCAATTCCAATCAAAATTCTAACACCGGGGCCGAGGATTTAGCTCACTGGTTTTGCTGCCTGCTGCGCAAGCAGAAGGACCCAAGTTCAATCCCCAGTACCAAAAAACAAAACAAAACAAAACAAAACAAAAAATTCTAATACCATATCTCACAGAATAAGAGAAAACAATCCTAAAATTCATTTGGAACCAGAAGAGACCTAGAATAGCAACAGCA